ATATATATATATATATATATATATATATATAGGCCTCTTATTAAGATTTTATTTTAGGCCTCCGATGAGGTTGGCCGCCCTTGACAGTATCATGTCTATTTTTACTAAATCTCCAATAAGTCAAAAGTTATTGTGAAGGGCATTTTTATAGCTTTCAATTAGATCTTACGTCATAAATATTGTTACAAAAACAAATGTATACTTATTTTTTCTTTAAACTAATTAAAAAATATATTGTACTCCTACTTATCCGATCCTTTTTTAATTTATTAATTTTGCTAAGTATTTTGTTCCATACAGTTTTTTATTATTAATTTTGTTAAATATTTTATTTATTTATTTTGCTTTTTAAATCAGAATTTTTCTGGTGATGTCCTATCCTTGAATTTTGCTAAGTATTTTATTTATTTATTTTACTTTTTAAAATTGAGATTTTTCTGATAATGACATTTGTCATACTCTTCTTGTGTTGCCTCTCCTATTATATATATAGATAGATTTCAGAAGAATTTTACATATATGACTATTAGGTGGCTTTGAATGATATACAATGTGTACACTAATACATCAATGGAGAATGACTGACAATAATGTTATGGAAGCTCTGGAGTGTGTGATTAAATAAATTTGAGCTCGAATTAGGAGTGTCTTCTGTTAATTACTATATTTTGACTTAGAATTTGCCATCTAATATTTGAGTTAATTCCCTTTATGGTCAACTAACTTTTAAGATTAGCCTATAAAAGTCATTTTAATTTTGTATGGGATAACAAAATCAACCAACTACTACTATTTGATTCAGAAAATAAAAAAATAATGAAATGTTAAACTTGTGTCATTTAGATATGCGGGCTGGGGCGGGGCGGGGCGGGGCAGGCAGGTTGAAATTTTGCGTGTTTTTATCCCAACAAGCCCCGCTGCCATCCCTATTTTTATCCCCTCCCTTTAAGCCCATATAAACTCACCTTTCCCCGCCACACCGAATCTAAGGCATGTCTCTTTGTTTCTCTCAACCCTGGAGGTTTCATCATGAAAGGAGGTAAATCCGTTGTCAAAACTAATAACATGATTGGTGTGAAGAAAAATGCTCCGGTGACTAAGAAAATGAAGGAAGTAAAAATGGAGCAAATGGAATTGTCAGATTGTGAAGAAGAAAGCGTTCATCCAACGAATGGCTCCAATGGTGGGGGAAATCCATGCTATCCACATCCAGGTAATATCGACCTCTTTATACATTAGGTACATTTAATTGCTTTTAGTTTATCTATTCATCCATGAAAATCAATGGCGCACACAATAAAAACAAATGAGAGCCAGTGACAAACACAATGAAAACAAAGGATGGATACAGATCATACCGACTAATTGGGATTAAGTCCTAATTGCTGTTGTACTTGTATTAAGTTTGCTATTTCTGTATTACTTAAAACACTCTTTTAGCCTATTTAAAGACTTGTATATCATCATGACTATAAGTATGAGAGTGCCCTTGAGTCCCTCCCCAAAGCCCTTCTTATCCCTTCCCTTTCAGCCATACACTCACCTTGCTGCACCACAATAAAGCTAGGGCATCTCTCTTAACAAACCCGAGAGGCCTGCATGTGCTTTCTTCGTTTTCATGGAGGAGTTCAGGAAGCAGTTGTCAGATGCTGAGAAAGCTCCTTACGAGGCAGAGGCAAATAAAAGGAGGGCGGAATATCAATAGAAGAAGGATGCTTATGACAGGCGAGTAGCTGCTGGATCTGCCGAGGAGGAGGAATTTGACAACTCAATGTCCGAGGTTGATGAGGAAGAGGGAAGCCGAGAGGAAGAGGATGAAGGGGATGGCAATTGAAGAAGCTTTTAGTCGATGAGGAAACCGGTGAGGAGGCTTCTGTAATATCTGCAACATATGACTTCTTCTTTTTCCCGTGTAATACTTGCAATTTTTTTAAAAATTTTTTATGAGTTAAAGATGAATTTAGGGGAGCTGCTTGTAAAGCTCAATAGTTTATGCACATTTTATTTTGATGCTGCTAATTCATAGTTCAGGCAGGTGGTTGTCCTTCTTGGCTTGTATGTGGTTTTCCATCTGATTCGTTTCTTTCTAATGTTCTAGTTTGTTGGTAAAATATCTTTGTTGTTGACATAAGCTCTCTTCGGAATTGGGATAGCTTTCTGTTCTCCCTCTTCTATGGATGAGTTATTTAGTATTGTAATGAATTGCAGGCGTCCTAGTATGTCCAAATGTATATTAGTTATTCAAATCGGCGGTTCAACTGGTTCAGTATTGATAGGCAATTGATTGATTGATAGTGTAGATAGATGCATTAGTATTTGTCATCACCTTTGTATGCAAGTTTCGTATCTTGTTTCTATTGCTACTAACCAAAGATGCAGACACTAATTATGAAAGTTAAGGTGCAAAGGAAACAATGAAAAGGTTTGGAGTTAGGGGTGGCATGTGGGTCGGGCCCAGTCCTAAGTAGGCTTCGCGGGCCCGGTCCTAGGCGGGCCGGTCCTAAGCGATCCCGGTCTTCGCGGGCTTCTCGTTGGAACCGGTCCGGGACCGGGA